GGGGGGGGGGGGGGGGGCTAGGTGTGTTGCCCCCTTCCCTTTCTCAGCGGCGGTGGTGTCTCCACCTCCCACCTCCCGCGCACCTGCAGCGCCAGGCAGCGGGCGTCACTGCTCTGCAGCGCGGCCCGCAGGTCCTCCACCAGCTCGCGCAGGCTGCAGTTCTCCTCCTCCAGGCGTGCCACGCGCTCACTGTAGCCGTTGTCTTGCAGGCGCGGCGCGCCAGACGGGCGGCGGCGGCGCGGGCGGCGAAGGCGGATCTGCGTCTCGATGTGCTCGCTGAGGGCTCCGCGGGGCAGCCGGGGTCCTGCTCGGGTACTGAAGTAGCCGCAGAGGCGGGCGTGGAACTGGCGGAAGGTGAGCTCCGGAGGGTCTGAGCGCAGAGCCAGGCGCGCCTCCTCCTTTACATCCGCGTCCTTGCCCGCCGCGGTAGCAACAGAGGCATCCTCAGTGGCTGCTTCCGAGGACTTGGCGTCCTCCGCGCCCGCCTCTCCATCAGCGCTCAGCCCCAGCACTGCGCACAGGGCTCGGAAGTCGGCACGCGGCAGGCGACCGGCGCCCCTGCAGTCCAGGTGGTGGAAGACTTCCTGCAGGTACTGGTCCAGGCCGGTGGCCAGCACCACAATCTCGTTCTCTACGCCGCGGTCCAGCCCGTAGTGGTGCGCCAAGGCGCTCAGCAGCCACTGCGTGCGCCGAGCAGGCCGCCGGTACGGGTCGCCCGCCGCGCCCTCCATGCTGCCGGCCGGCTGCTCCTCTTCGTCGCGCCGCGTGAGTCTGCGGAAGGAGGGGCCTGGCGGCCACCGCCTGGCCAGAAAGGCGGGGGACGGTGTCCGGGCGGCTGCGCAGGCGGTTCAGGGCATCTGTATTTCTGCGGGTCGGGGGCGATGGGGCAGCGAGCTCTAGCTCTCGGGCTGTCTTCATCCTGACCCCACCTGCGCTCCCCATCCTCGTCTCCGTCACTGCAAGGAGTCCCTGGGTCAGTTCCTCCTGCCACTCCAGGGCCTTGCGCGCCTTCCGGGCGGCGAGCGCTTGGTCTAAAGCCGGGAACCATCTGTAGTTGTCCTTGCCCAAACTTCTTGGCACTTCCACCCCAGCCACCTGCCTAGCGGTCCTCTGCCCCTAGTTCAAACTGTCCTCAGCACTGCTTACTAAACTCTCCCTTACCCTGTCAGTAACTAGAGCAGAGGAGGAAACACTTGGAGGGGAGAGGGAGCAAGGTTAGGGTTTTGGCGAGAAGCTAGTCCGAGAGGGTCCCTGACTGGATATTGGGCGGGAAAGTTGCTGTCTCTCGCCGGTGTCTTTTGGGCTCCATGTGGTCACTAGGCACTTAGAGTCATTTCTGGGCTGGGATGAGGCTAAAATGCTTTTTTTTTTAATTTTATTTTTTTATGTGGCCATCGTTTTCTCTCTGGGGTCTTAGACCTGGAAGGTGAATGGCAAATTTGCTTCCCTGGTGAGTGCTAACCTGTTTTTCCTTTCTCATTTACAGAGACAGGTTGACATCACCTGTTACCTGCCCTGGGAACATGTTGGAACAAAAGGCAAACTCAGCATTAAGTAGTCAGATCTTGTCTTGTGCACGGCTCTGTGCTTTTAAATGTTAAATCCAACCATTTGAAAAATATTGTTTTGGGGAATGGAGACACGGCTCAGGGGCTAAGAGCACCAGCTGCTCCTGCAGAGGACCCGGTTTGGTTCCTAGCATCGACATGGTGCCTAACAACTGTTGGAAACTCCAGTTCCAGGGGAATCCCTAGCCCTCGTCTGACCTCTGCCCTTCCGTACCTGTAGGCAAATACACTCGGACACATAAAATGAAAAAAAAAATTTTTTTTTTAAGAAAAATATTCTTTTGCTTCTACCACTACTCAACCCCAGACCAGCACTTTGGCATTTTGGCAAATTCCTATTGGTTCTTGAACACTTTGCCTCCAGCACACCTCTAAGAGGAGTCGGATACACCAAAGAATTTTGGATAAGCATTTTTCTATTATTATAAAAGCAATGGCAATTTGACAGGAAGTTTTACATCAGTTCCACTTCTTGGATGCTACTTTAGAGAAACACGTGTGCAGGATGTTCACCTCACTCTTGTTTATAACAGTCAGAGGCTGATTTTCTTGAAGGTGCCAGACAGGAAAAATCAACAAAGACAAGAAAGCATGCTGCAGCATGTTTTGTAAATGTTAATAGATAGGTAACAAGAAGATTGTACCACATATTACCAAACGTTCTCTACAAAGATGCATGTAAAATGCATAGAAGATTAATACATTTACAAATGGGTCTAGCTGCTATTTCTGAGGATGGCAAACTTTCAGCTTTCTCTGTATTGACTCTTTTGCTTAAATGGGAGACTACATTTTGTTTATTATTTATATACATTTATGATGCACATACTCAGAGTTTTAGTACATGATAGTTGTCTAATCGCAACTACAATCTAGTACTTGAACATTGCCATCACTTTCCCCCAAGTGTACCCTAGTACTACACAACCCATCCCCTCTACCTCTCATCCTTCTGTCACTGGCAATTGCCATCTTCTGAATCCATAATTTGCCTATTCTGGGATATAATCATACGAGAGGTGGCCTACTGTGGACTGGCTGTTTTAGAGAACACATTTACAATATCTGTGCTGTGGCGTGTACTGGTACTCCATTCTGTTCTGGTTCTGAGTAATATTCCAGTGCGTGGATAGACCATATTTTCTTTATCCATTTATCAGCTGATGGGAATTGGGGTTGTTTGAGTATTTGTTGTGAGTGATGCTGCTATGGATTTTGGTATGAGTTCGTATAATTTAATTTCTTTTGGGTATATACTTAAGTGGGATGGTGGGGTCCTGTGGTAGTTGGATGTCTTCTTGAGGAATGGTCAATCTCTTTTCCAAAGAGGATTCCCTATTTTCAGTGCATTTCCTGTGTTCCTCAGTGTGTTGAATGGTGCAGAGACCCTTATCCCCACTTTCTCCACCACACTTCATAGTGCCATCCTGCTAACGTCAGACCTGTGTCGGCCAGCTGCCCATTACTGTAACAACTATCTGAGATGATTAGCTTACTATGAGGAGAGGTTTATTTTGGTTCACAGTTGTGAGGCTTCACTGTGGTTGGTTGGCCCCATTGCTTTTGAACCTGTGGTAGAATACCATATTTCATACATGCATGGTGGTAGTAGAGTTAAATCCATACACTTCAATGATGGAAAGAGGAAGAAAAGGGACTGGGACCCCACTGTCATCTTCAAGGGCACAACCCAAGTGCTGTGCTACTAGATCTCATTTCTTGAAATTTTTACTACCTCCCAACAGCAGTGTTGGGAGCCTCTGTTATGCAAAGTGGAAGCCCCTTCACGACCGGACAGCTCATGCAGCTCGGGATCATGTGCTGTGGGCTCCTTTCATAAGCAGGGTGTCTTCCTGGCATCTTTCCTGTCTCTCCTTTTGAAGTGTCCACCACAAATGCCATAACATAAACATGGCCTTTGGCTCTGAAAGGTACCATGCCTTCCTGTAATTTCTCCAGGCAGACAACAGTCTAGCAGTGTGGCAGAAATCCACTTCCATATGTAAATAGGACGTGCCTCACAAAGCATCTAACAGCCAAAGCTTTTACCACTACCCCCATGGTATAAATGCCTTAGTCTTCTCTTAATGGTCAGAGATTTGGGCTGCAGAGAATTGGGCTGTAGAGATTTGGGCTGCACAGAATTGGGACACAGAGAGCCGGGTCTCAGAGAATAAAGCTGTAGCACAGACTAAGCCAGTCTTGAGTCTTGTGTCACTACCGGCGGCCCAATCTCTCCTGGGGGCGCACTCCCTCGTTACCAACTCGTGGACATCCTAGCTTTCGCTGTCCCCGTACTTATTCCCGTGAGGCCCAAGTGGCCAGTGGACCTCGTATCCTGAGGAAGAGTACATGGGTGGATTAGGGACAGGATTCGGCAGAACAATGCTTCTGCAGCAGAGAAGCTCCAGAGACACGGGACCGAGCAGCTGGGAAAAGCCTGCAGGGCACCTGTGGCCAGACCCGCCAGCGACTAGCCAGGTGCGGCGGGGGAGTGCCATTCGGGGGAGTGCGCCCAGAGAGAGTGCGCACGCCCCATAAGCAGTACCCTAATAACCATCCTTTTAGCACATAGACCTTTGGAGGACATTACAGATCTGAACGATAACAAGACTCCCTGAACTGTCATACCTTAGATCCAATTGTCAGGCCATCCAGTGGCTCTACTTTCCAAAACACATCCTGAATCTGCTTCCTCCCTACTGCACTGTGACCATCCTAGGCCAAGTCCCAGCATTTTTTCAACCTGTGTGATTGCTTTACTCTCTCCAAAGACTGGCCCTTGAACACCTTCACCCTGTCCTTGACAGCCAGAGGGATGCTGTTAAAACTTGTCATAATGGTGCCCCTCTTAGCTCAGTACCTGTTATTTCCTTCTCAGAGGGGTGAAAGATAAAGTCCTCACCATGGCCCCGAGGACAGGCACATCAATACCTATTTGTCTCCTTTAACCTCATCACCAGTGCTTTCCTCATGCTCTTTTTCTACTCCGTCTAACTAGCTTAGGGTTTTGGCATTTGGTCATCCAGATCCATAATCCCCACCTCCTTCTAATTCTATCAGCCCCAGCAGATTATGTTTTCTGTGGATCATCTGCCTCCTGCATTAAACCCTTGGAAGAGCACGGCCTGTTTTGTTCACCTGGAATAGTATTTGACACAACAAAGAAGCAGACTTGTGGTTCCTCTGTCTCTCCATGATTGTGACTCCAAACGGCATCATGGATGTTGCCTTGAAAATACTTTCTTTGCTCATAAATAATATATGTCTTTATTGGTGTGTGCTTTTTAAAGTGGTTATTGTACTGTACCATCTGTAAGCCTCATATATAGCTTAAGTCATACAAGGCTGGTGCTCCAGTGATCAGCACAAAGTAAGTACTGATTGTTTTGGTTTGCATGAACATACCTCTGTGAATGTGAACTCACAGCATCAAAAGGAAAATGACCTCTAGCAGACATCAGTGGGATTTGTCTTCTGACCCAGTGATATTGGAGCCACTAAACCTCCAGATGTTGAGAGTGTTCTACTCCCAACCCCCAGCTGGACTGTGAAATCCTGGCCTACAGCTTGATGTGAGCATATAAAGCAAGCCTCTGCTGTGACAGTCTTGCCTCTGCAGATGAAACTGTTTTTTATTTCATGTCAGTTTTGAGGGCTAGTAGCCCTCAAAGACCCTGCATACACCCTTCCCAGTCCCATGCTGGTAACTGCTTTGCTGAAAGACTCCTTTGAACAGCAGCTTTCCTGGCCCAGTCAACATTGAAAAGAAAGCTTTTCAATATCTGGCCATGGAGCTGTTGCCTGGCACCCGCCCTCCTGTGGCTTATGGAGGCAGGGTTTATAATGGTGTGCTGTTAGGCATGCCTATCTGGGGCCATGTTACTAGGCACCCCTGAAACAATTCTGCTTGGATTCACAAGGTTTTTGTTGGAGGTTCAAAGTGAGCAAAATCAGAGGCTTTGTGGGTTCCTTTGTATAAGCTGGTTGTGGGGGGGTGTCCATGGGGAAGAGTTGAGGTCCTGGAAAATAAATTACTTTCTGAAGTCTCTTCAGTATTGTTTGAGCTGCTTCCAATAGTATACTGTTCAAAGCGTCCTTATAAAATCTAGAAATATAGTAAGAAGCAAAAGTCACCCACCATTCTCCCAACAAGAAGGGATCATGGTCCATTTGCGGTGCACTTATTTCTAGATTTTTCTACGTATTGGGGCATGAAAGAACTTTCCAGGGTGAGGGAAATACTTTGTGGTGTGGTTGATGTCACATCTGTCATAACACTTTCAAAGGACAAAATAAGACCAATTTGCTCATGAATCTGCAGTGTGGGGAGAGCTTGGTGAAGACTGTTTCTTTGTAGGGGCAGCCAGTAAATTCCAGGCTTGGGAGCTGACACTGGTGGTTGGTTGACACTGCTCCACATGGCCCTTCTGTGGTCACCTGTACTTGTAGCCATCAGGGAGGCTACCTTCCCAGGGTGAGGCTCCAAAGAAAGCAATACAGGTTTGCAGTACCTGACTTCAGAAGTCAGAGTATCCTTTCATCACACTTTACTGGCTGAGGTGGTCACAAGTTTGTCTGACCCACTGAGTCGGAGGAGTATTGACAACACACAGGATGAAGAGCATGTGGGAGAAGATCTGAGAGGTGGCATAGCCTCTCAGTTGTGATGTCAGAAAACACACATTGTTTTCTAAGCCTTATTCCTGGAGAATTAACCTCCAGGTTTGGAGTGAAACTGCAAAATATTATTATTATACTGAAGATTGAGTCCAGGGCTTGGCACTCTACTCTCAGCAGGCAAGCTCTCGACCATTGAGACCCAAACCTCTTTTTACTTTTGATTTTGAGACAGACTCTCACTAAGTTGCTCAGGTTGTCTTGAGCTCGTTTGTGGCCCAGTCAGGCCTTGGACTTGTGATCCTTCTGCCTTAATCTCTTGAGTAGCTGTCATTCTGCCAGGCCTTAATCTTTATTATTATTATTATTATTATTATTATTGTTGTTGTTGTTGTTGTTGTTGTTGTTTTTTGAGACAGTGTCTCCCTGTAGTCCCAGCTGGCCTGGAACTCACTCTGTAGACCAGGCTGGCCTTGATCTCACAGAGATCCACCTGCCTCTGTCTCCTTAGTGCTAGGGTTAAAAGCATGCACTACCACACCCAACTCTGAATCTTAGTTTTGGTGCATCCTGGGTGACTCTGATGTGCATCTAGGATGGGGCTTTGGCCCTTTGGCCTATACCTGTGGCCCCTCATCTTAAGATTGGAGAGTATGGCTGCTGTCCTAGGTAATATGATCAAAGACTTTTTTGGACTCTGCTGTCAGAACATCATGATCAGAGGTCACACACATGTTCCTGGCAGGGTCTGTCCCAGTTGGCTCTGCCCTACTCCTGTGCTGAAGTGCCTCTCTCTGGCTGAATTGGAGAAAAATTGCAAACTGGCCAAGAAAAAACAGACTTCTTCACAAATTGGTGTGATTCTGAGGGACTCATGCTGTACAAAGTAAGTTTTGTGGTGAGCAATAAAATCTTGAGACTTTAAGACTGGCTCTTGATCTTCCTGAGATCTCTTCCATTTAATTTAGGGAGTAGTTGCTGTTTGCAAATATTTTGAGAGGAACAGAAAAGATAAAGATGCTGTATTAGTCACTTTTCTGTTGCTGTGATAGAAACACTGATCAAAGTAATTTATAGAAAGAAGAGTTTCTTTGATTTATTGTTCCAGGGAATTACAGTGCATCATGGCAGGGAGGCATGGTGGCTGGGGGTGGCTAGAGCAGGAGCAGCAGAAGCTAAGCTCTCATATTATCATGCAAACACAGGAAGCAAGAGAGCAACTGGAGATCTGGAAAGGCTTAAAAATTCTCTGAGCCCACCCCCAGTGATGTGTGCTTCCTCCAGGATAGCCATACCTTCTAAAACCTCCCAGAACAATGCCATCACCTGGGGATAAAATGTCCAAATACTTGGAGCCTATGAGGGACATTTTCATTCAAACCATCACAGATGCTAAATTCTGTATGAATCTGGTAGACAGCTGAACTCACCAATTAGCTTACTATTATAAGGCCACATGGGTCCTTGGGAAAAACGAGTCATCCAAATCTCTGTCTTGGCAGCATAAATTTGTCTGTGCACTTAAGTAATAAAATCACTCTTTACTTTTTTTTGTTTGTTCTTTTGCAACAGGGTCACCCTGTAACTTGGAACTTGCTATGTAGATCAGGTGGGCCTTGATCTCACAGAGATCTGCCTACCTCTGCTTCCCCAGTGCTGAGATTAAAGGTGTGTGCCTGGCTGTTTAAAGCTTTTATAAAAAGGACCCTTTGGAATAAAATCATAGTCAAGCTGGTAGGTGGGACCCAAGGAAAGGAAGCTCCTGTGGGCTTGTGTGCTCCTGAGGGATGTGCAGCTGACTTGATTTTGTTGCCTGCTGGGTTGGGGAGCTGACTAATCTCAGGAGCCTTTTGTCTTGTAGCCTCATATGTGTCTTTAGCATGTCTAGGTTTATAGAATGCAATCTGTAGGCTGTTGGTGCGGGCAAGGTGAATGAGTATTCCTTGTGTGGTTTGCTGCTGTTCAGTGTTGCTCTCCCTTACAGTTTTTCTTGAGGTTCAGGTTTCAGCCTGATTCATCCTGAAGGGTATTGGAGGGTCCCATTCGAAGTGCAGGATTCTGCATCTGATGACCTAGAAAAGTATGCCTTGGAGGCTTGGTTCTTCGCTCCAGCTCAGCCCTTACTGAGGTCCACTCTGACTCAACATAGGTCACAGTTAAACTTAGAGCTTTAGTTTTCTCAGTAACTACATGTGAGTAGAGCCTCATGTCCCATTCTCTTCACAAACACAGTTGCTGAGTAGGAACATTTCCTCACCAGAAAACCTACCAGGGCTCCCCGTTGCCCGTAGTGTTAGTTCCTGCCTGCCCTTTGGGGGTATGTACCACAGGCCATGCTTGCCACCTTATCATTTTTCTATGAACTCATCATGAGCCTCCACCCCTCTAGGGCTTGTATATGCTGTTTCCTCTCTTGCTTTCACTCCCTGGCTTTTGTTCTTCTTTGAAGTCCACCCCTGACCTGTCTGGCCAGTCCACTCTGAGTTGTTTCTCTCTGACTTGGTCCACTTATGTCTTCCAGATCAGGTGCAGGGTGCTTATCCAGGGCACTCAGTGTGTGGGGGCTTTGCAGAGAAGTGCAAGTCTTTGTATCAGGAGTCTGGATTTCAGTCCAGTGCAGCTACATACTTGCTGTGTGCCTGTGTGTAAATGCCTTCACTTTCTAACTCTGTTTCCTCATCTCAGGGGAAACAGAATTTTTCTGATATTTTCAGGACATCAGCCCTAGAAAACAGAAAATCTAATGAGAGTTTTCCGGGTCTGAGTATGTAGTGACCATTGCTTCCTTTAACCTTATCAAAGCATGGGAAGTGGGAGCTGATGGAGCAGTAGGGAAGATATAGCAGGCTAGGAGCATAACAGGTGCTATGCTGGGAGTAGGAGCTTCTTAAATGTTGGATGAATGAACAAATGGGTGAAGGTAACAGCTTTTCCAATCTGCACACATATATTTGGCAGGTCTGGGGTACGAAGGCCAGCAGAAGCCTCAAGGAAAGAAGCCCCATCCCCAGTGAGCTCTGCAGTGAAAAGCTCAACCCCAGGAGTCTCGCTGGGAGTGGAGGTGGGGGAGTCCCACCCCTAGAGGGGTCCAACCTCAGGAAGTCTGTTCCCCCAGGGCCCTAGCTTCTTGGAACCTTGCTGCGCCAGAGGAAAGAAGCCCCGCCCCCAGCCATGGCTGAGGTCTCCTGGCAACGGCCTGGCCTAACAAAGTCCCTTAGGAGCTCGGAACCCGCAGTGCCTGAACCCAGAGTCCGGGAACCGCCTCGCTCGCACAGTGCAGTAAGTGCAGGAGCTGACCCGTCTCCGACCCCAGGTACCCCTCCCACCTTGAGGTCCTGCCTGTATTCCCCCCTCGGATGCCCAGGGCCAGCCTGGTCTCCCATGCAAACTTCTAGGCTTTGCTGGGATTCTGCCCCCAGAAATGCAAGGGTGTCCAAGCTCAGCGCTCTCTGTGCCTTGCCTCTGGGTATCTCGCTCTCCTGACTTCGCCAGGGGCCTGGTGCTTGCTGTCCAGGTTCAGTTCGCCCTTCCTCAAGTGGCAGATGCCTGTCTTGTGCTGGTGCAGCCCCGGGGGCTCTCCCCCAGCCTCTTGACAGGAGACGGGCCTGTGCGCTATGCTCACCTGGGTTCCTATGGCCGACTCCTGATTTCTTAGCGAGTAGCTAGCTGGACTCGGGTTGGAGAAACAATCACTGTCATTGCCAGCTGCCTCTCTCTGGGTCCTTCACCCATTTCTTCTCATCTGCTGAGCATTCGTTGTTCAGCAGGCATCTAGCCAAGCCTGGTTCATTGGAGACCAGACAGAGAAGGGACTGGGAGGGTGAGCCTTCCTGCACCAGGCAGGCTTACTCCTGCAGTCTTTGCTGTCTTTCCCGCCAGAACTGTGCCGGTGCTGTGCAACATGTCCCTGAAGGCCTGGGAGTGGGAGGAAGAGGACAGAGCAAGCGAGGGGCACATTTCCTCGCTAGCCAGTGCTTACCAGTCTGCCAGCGAATGTGAGACAGAGGAGTATCCGAAAGCCAGGATCCCGGCCCAGGAGTGGGACTCTGATGACCAGTACAGCAGCAGCCTGAGCTCCTCAGAAGAGCCTGCCTGCGCCTACAATTCTGATGTACCCCAAGTTGTCCCTTGCAAACTCATTATCTCACTGGCCTTCCCTGTGCATACTATAGGTAGGTGCTAAAGTAGAATTCTGGAACCCTCTGCACAAAGCATTCTGGGAGATGAGGACACATGCTTGCCTCCTTCCCTCACTCTTTTCCTCTCCAAATAGAGTGGCTGGCACCAGCTGGGGCAGAGGTCAGAAAAGGAACAAACAATTCAGGGGCCCAGCTATGGGTCAGGCCCATAAGTGATAGTGTGGCTTTGAATACTCAGCCCTCTCAGAGGCACTAAGAAGGTGATTGTCTTATTTTTTAAAAAATTATTTTATTTTTTATTTTATGTGCATGAGTGTATTGCCTGCATATATGTAAGTACACCCATGTCATGCAGTGCCCGCAGGGGTCAGAAGAACCATCTCCCCAGCCCCCACCCCCTTTTTTTAAACAGGTGTACAAACACTGCAGAGATCGCAGCTTGGTTTTCATAGTTGCTTGTATCTTAACCCAATGCCTTGCATAAAATACATTTTAGATTCACTGAACAAAGTCTTGAGTGTCGAGGTATATCACTCTAGCTGTGTAGCAGAGGCAAAAGGCCCCTATACCTGCTGATTGCAAGCTCTGGTGCATCTTTACCTTCATTGTACAGGTTGTCTATCTGGGCTGGGCTCTGGATAAGTGACTCTCCTCTGTTCAGGATGCTTTTTATCCTCTTTCTGGCCAGATGGGCTAGCCCAGACACCTGCTTACTATGGACAGACCTATGCAAACAGAGGGCAAACACAATCTCTGATGTTTAATCTTTGTTGTCACCTTGATGGGATTTTGAATCTTCATGGACACAAATCGCCGGTGTGTCTGTGAAAGTTTAGGCTAGGTTAACTGAGGCAGGAAAACCTACCCTAAATGCCGGTAGTACCATTTTCTGTGCTGGAGTCTGGGAGTGAATAAAAATAAGAAAGTGATCTGAACACAAGTGCTCATTGCTTTCCGCTTCCTGACTGTGGATGCAATGTGACCAACTGCCTCCTGCTCCCATGGTCATACGTTGCCAGCCATGATGGACTGTATGTATCCTCTGGAACTGTAAGCCGAAATGAAGCCTTCCATCCTTAAATTGCCTTGTCAGGTATTTTGTCACAGCAATGAGACAACACAAATACACAGTCCCACAGCATTCTTCAAGTGTCTGAGTGCTTCTTACCCACTAGCATCTTTTCTGTTAGAACAAGTCACATGGTTCAAGTGGGGGATAGAGGACAATGCTTTAGCCCTTAATTTCCCCTTCCTTCCTTCCTCTACTTACTTTAATATACAATTTGATTGACTGCAGCTTCTCCTTGCAGTTCTGTTTTGTTGCTCCTAATATTTTGGAGGCTGGTTAGGTAGTTAACTTATTTATAATTGCTCCAGTCTCTTGGTGAACCAAATTTTCTGTTATTGTGTGGGGATCTCCTCTTTCCACAGGTGCTTTTTATCTCAGGCCTATTGATATCAAGCAAAAGAAGCTGAAAAAGTTATCTGACAATAAACAGTCAAAGGAAAACTGGTGCTCAGCTGACTACCCTGGCTGTCATGTCCTTGTAGACCTTGTAGGCTTACTATTCCTATTTCATTGCTTCTACCAAAGGCATTTGCAGAATACACATCCAGAACTGCACAAAACCCTCAACACATCTAGCTGGAAAAAATTATAGATTCATGTCTTTCTACTTTGTCTTAGCTTCCTTCCCTGTTGCGGTGATGAAATATCCTGACAAAAGCAATTTAAGGGAGATAGCGTTTATTCTGGTTCCCATTCAAGAGTACAATCCTTCATGACAGGGAAATCACAGGGCAAGAGCTTGGGGGTGCTGGTCACATGGCATTCATAGTCAGGAATAGAGAGTGATGAAGGCATGCTGTTGCTCAGCTCCCTTTTTCCACTTCTACAGTTCAGTATCCCAGCCAGGGAAGGTGCCACTTGTAGTAGGTGAAGCCTTTGTACTTAAATTAATTAAGAGAAACGAGATCCTGTATGTTCTATTCTACCCCTTACTTTGAAGTTTGACATCTAAGCCGGTTGGGGTGGCACACGTGTTTAACCTTAGCACTTGGGAGGCAGAAGCAAGAGGATCTCTGGGGCTCACTGGCCAGTTAGTCTAGCTGAATTGGCGAGGTTCAGTGAGAAGCCCTGTCTCAAAAAATAAAAATAAGGTAAGCTGAGCATGGTGACCATGCCTTTAATGCCGGCACTTAGGAGGCAGAGGCAGGTGGATCTCTGGGAGATCAATTCCAGCCTGGTCTACATAGTGAATTCCAGGCCAGCTGGGGCTACAGGGAGACCCTGCTTCAACTGCCCCCCATTGACATTTTAGACATTGTAAAGGATGTGCACATATACTTATTTTTAGATTAATTAATTAATTAATTAATTAATAATCATTTATTTGAGGCAGGGTCTCACTATATACCCCTGGCTGGACTGAAAATCACTATGGAGACCAGGCTGGCCTTGAACTCACAGAGATTTGCTTGCCTCTGTCTCATGAATGCTGGGACTAAAGGTGTATGCCATCGTGCCGGGCAACTGTTGTTTTATTTTTATTTATTTGTTTGCAGGTCAGGCCTTGCACTGTGGTATAGTCTGGCCTGGACCCCAACCTTCTGAGTGCTGGTATTTTAAATACTTCTATAATATATTGTATGTCTCTCATTTATTTTACCATGTGCCTTTTTGGCAGTGCTTGGAACTGAACCCAGGAACTCCCACATGCTCCACCACTGAGCTACATAATCCTATCCCATCCCTAACTGTTAGAGATTTAAGTTGCTTATAGAAATTTTCAATTACTATTCTGCAAAAGACATTCATTGTGTGGTGGTGGTGGTGTGGTAGTGGTGGTGGTGGTGGTGGTGTGTGTAAAGGCCAGAGGAGTTCAGTCTTGAATGTTGTTCCTTGGGATGTACACATTTTATTTATTTATTTATTTATTTATTTATTTATTTATTTATTTATTTATTTATTTTATTTCTTTCACTTGGCCTGGAATTCACTAATACTGGTAGACTGGCTGGCTGGCTCTCCGGTTCTGGGATCATGAGTACATGTGACAATGCCTGGCTTTTTTTTGTGTGTGTTCTGGGGATCAAACTCAGGTCCTCATGGTTGTACAGTAAGTACTTTATCCATGGAGCCATGACCCCAGCCTTGCCATAGACATTCTATATATACATTTTTGTGTATGTATATGTGTGGGCACTATTTCAAGAAATAGAATTATTGAGCTGAAGGTATGCACTTAAACTTGTTTGATAGATATTAGCAAATTGACCTCAAAAGTATTATAATAGTTTGCCCTCCAGTCAACAGAAAATGAAAGGCTCTATTTGTTCACGTTTTGGTCTGCTTTGATTGAATCAGAACAAGCTTTCTGGGCAGCTGTAACTTCACAGAAGGTCCTAATGTCTGCAAGAATTGGCAGGGGGAGCTCTATTCCAAACTGTACACACATGCTAACCACTCTGGTAACACAGAAAGAGTGATCCAGTAGCTACTGCCTGGGGTTAAAAGCTTGAAGTTCTGGGCTGGGTGTGGTGGTGCATGCCTTTAATCCCAGCACTTGGGGGTGGGGTGGGTTGGGGTTGCGGTGGGGGGAAGAGGTAGGCAGATCTCTGTGAGTTCTGGTCTACATAGTGAGTTCCAGGCCAGTTGGGGCTACAGGGAGACCCTCTCTCAAAAAAGACCCAAACAAAACAACCCCAAAACCTCTGCTTAGCCTGGTGATGGGGGAGCATAATGGTAGAGTGCTTGCCTAGCGTGTTCAAGGACTTGGGTTCTATCCCTGGCACTACAAACCAAAACCAATTGGAACGCCAAACTGAAACCAAACAAATGAAAAATCTCTGAAAAGTAGAGAGAGAGAGAGAGAGAGAGAGAGAGAGAGAGAGAGAGAGAATCACAAACCAGAAACAAAAAAATAAAGGAAGGTCTAAGTGGAGTGAGGGAGCTGAGTGGTTATGTGTCACGTCTTGGGAGCTGGTAGCCCTTGCAGCATGGCTGACTGCCTGAAGAGCAGATTGCAGAACTCAAAGATGCCTTTTCACCATTTGACAAGGATGGCGACGGAACTATAACAACAAAGGAACTGGGAACTGTAGTGATGTCTCCTGGGCAGAATCCCACAAGGCAGAGTTACAGGGCATGATTAGTGAAGCAGATGCAGATGGTGATGGCTAAACTGACTTCTCTGAATTTCTGACAATGATGGTAAGAAAAATGAAAAAAAACATCAAGTGCATATTTTCTTTTATTGTTACTTGCTTTTAAAACATTGTTTACCCACTTAAAGAAAATCTGCTTATGGCACAATTTGCCTCAGATCTATTCCAAGTTGTGTATTTGTTTTCCAATAAAAAATTACAATTTTGAAAAAAATAAAGGAAAAAAGTATTAACAACAATCATATTTTAAGTTTTTGTTCTATTTTCATTCTTTTTTCTTTTGTATTATTTCCCTTTTAAAAGATAGTCATAGCTGGGCATGATGGCACATGCCTTTAGTCCCAGCACTCAGGAGGCCGAGGCAGGTAGAGCTCTCTTTCTGTGAGTTTACAGCCAGCCTAGTCTACATAGTTAGTTCCAGGCCAGCTGGGGCTACAGGGAGACCTTGTATCAAAAAGACCAAAAGAAAAAAAAAAGATAGTCATATTTTTATAGACTGAAGTTTGGATTGGTATTTATAGAGATCCAGATTTGTACTTATATTACTTGGGAAGTAGAAGGGTCACTCGTGTCCAAGCACCTGAGATCAACCTGGGCAACTTGCTGAGACCCTGTCTCCAAACAAAACCAACCAGACAACCAAACAACAAAAGAAACAAACCGATCTCAAAATATTTATGAAGTTCCTGATCATCTTCCTTGGTATGAAAAGAACCAACCCAGAAGGTTCCATTTGAGCTCATGACTGGCTCTGGCCTCTGGCCGTGCCCCGGCTTTTATCCAGCATCTCATCACTCATGAAGAAGGTTTTGTTAGGCTGTTCTCACTGCCTGGATGTCTGCTAGCCTTACTCCTGTAGGACTCTGCTAAGAGGTCCTGAGAGGCAAACACCCAAGTCGATGTTGTTGTACCATAGAACCCTGCTCATGTGCTGTTATATTGTCATGGGATGTTTTTTTCTTACCTGATTTTGGCTTGCTTCTTAGGGCTGGGCCTCGAGTGAGACAAGCAAGATGCCGAATGAGAAATTGTAAGAGTGCCCACTTTCTGAGCCATGCACTTCAGTTTTGCATGCATTGTATAAAGTCTAGGCTCCGCTCCTCTGTAGATCTGGGCCTGAACCTTCTCCCCCAAGCTGGTGGGTAAGCAACATGGTCATGTATAGCCTCTCACAGCACCAGGTTTTTTTGTGTTAGTCAACGATGTCACTGTGAAAAATAGCTGAAATGCACAACTTAATATGGAAGAAAGGCTTGTTATGGCTCACAGGTTCAGAGATTTCAGTTCATGGCTACTTGGTTCTGTTGCTTTAGGACCTCTGGTGAGGCAGAACATCAAGGTAGAGGTGCCCCGGGAGGAAATTGCTCATCTGTCTAACCTTCCCCTATTAAGTAAGTGCCACCTCTTAGTTTCTCTTGCTTTCCAGTAAAGACACTGGCTGGAGCACATGGGCCTTTGGAGACATTTCTAAATGATAGCAATGTTTCTTGCCTCCATGGAGCTTGGAGATAGGTCTGCTTTCCCACAGGTTAGAGAAAGATTCATTAAATTTGTATCTTCTAGGTCATAAGGGAAAACTCACAAGTGTTATTGATAAATATAAGAAAGTTCCTAAACCAGACAGCCATGGTGCAAAGGCTCGTCACTTCTACCACATTGAATATTTCCTCATGCCTGATGATGTAGAACCCCAAAAAGTTGATGTCATGGTGTTTCCTGCAGTGGCCAAAGTGTTTCTGGACTCAGGAATAAAGGTGGGTGAAGTGTGTGTGGTTCTGCATGGAGTGTCACACTCAGGATGCAGCATGTGTTCCACTGACCTGAAGTGGACATAGCAATAGCGCTCACTAGAAATGTGGGATCCTGGCCCACTCTAGACTTCCTCAGTGAGAACTTACATTGACCTACAAATGTAATCACATGGTTTATTTAAGTATCTTTACTTGGTAGTTTCCTGGGTGTTTTAGCACTTAAAGTTCTTTTTAAAAAAAGTGTGTGTGTGTGTGTGTGTGTGTTTTTTTGTGTGTGTGTGTGCAAGTGCCCTTGGAGGCCAGAAGAGAGCATCTAATGGAGTTTTAGGTGATTGTGAGCCACTTATGGGTGCTGGGAACTAAATTCAGGTCTTCTGGAAGGTCAGTAAGCATTCTTAACTGTTGAGCCATCTCTCCGACCCTTAAGGTTCTTTCTTAACGTGTGTATGTGTGTGTGTGTGTGTGTGTGTGTGTGTGTGTGTGTGTGTGTGTGTGTGCTCACATGAGTGTGACTGTATGCAAGGGCTGCTTGTACACACAGGCATACTCCTACAGTGGTTTGGCTCTGAGTCATTGCTTGGACACTATGTATGCATTTTCTTAGATTTTATTTTTTCAAGGAATCAGAGGCCTGACAGGGCCCAGCACACAGGGCTCTACTCCCCTGTAATTCAAAGCTCGGAGAGAGGCAGCCAAGCAGAGGGTACCACACCACCTCTACTTCAGGTGGGGCTAGCCTGGTGGGGAGTGCCTAGTCTGTAGCCTGCTCCTCCATTTCTTGCAGTTAGTCTCTGAATGGTGTTTTACACAGACTGTGAAGCCATGGAGAGAAGGTGACAAAGTCTGGGTGTCATGGAGCCAAAGTTTTAAGGTCAACATGACAAAGGAATTATTAAAGAAAGTAAATTTCCACAAAATCACTCTGAAGCTCTGGGACAGTAAGGACAAAGTTTCAAAAAAAGTCAGGTACCATCGGTTAAAGACGACTGGTTATTTGGAAGACCCAGAATCTTTTGGTAAGTCAGGTATTTTGGTTGTATTTTAAATGTTTCTGGAGACTTGTGTTTGCTCACTACAGGTTGAACATCCTGAATCCTGAAATCTAAAATCTGAGAAGTTTGACATTGTTTTGAATCCTGACATTATATATACCTCAAGTGGAAAATTCCACAGCCAAGTTCACATGACAGATCACTGTTAAAACAAAAGCTCACCAAAAAACCTTATAACATCCCCTCAAGACAGTGTATAGGTTATTCACAAGAGTAAATCTCCAGCTTAGAATTGGGTGCCTTCTCCAAGATACTTCTTTTTATATTCAAATATTCCAAAATCTGAAAAAAACCCAAATCCCAAGCATTTAAGATGAGGGACTTTTAACTTGTATCAGAGTAAAAGCTGGTGTTTCTTTGTGTTTTCATTTGACTTACCTGGTGTGTGTACCATCCACCCAGGACATGCTTGGAGAGTTATGGTGCGTCTGGACTTAGGCAGTCTGTGTACCTCCCTTATATCTGTGGACCTTTTTGCGTCAGGGCAGCTCTGACATGAGTCCCTATCACTGGCCTGTCTCCTTGGACTAATATTGTATGTTTACTGAAAAAAAGATTAGGAATAGTAAAAAACAAAAGAGAAAATTCGCCTGCATGTATGAGTTCCTGAGTTCCTGGGTTCCATCTCTAACACCAGAAAAAGAAGCAGCTAATTGAAAAATTCTGCCTCCTCTAGCTGGGGAAATGGCTCTGTTGGTAAAGTGCTTGCCATATAAATATGAGGACCCGATTTTGATCCTCTAGAACTCACATAAAATGCTGGGTGTGGTGTACATACCTATAATTATAGCACTGGGGAAGAGGAAATAGAGGATCCCTGAGACTTTTGGTGAGCCAGTCTAATCGAATTGGCAAGCTCCAGCTTTATTAGGAGACTCTGTCTCAAAGAGTAAGATAGAGGGGCTGGAAAGATGGCTCAGCAGTTAAGAGCACTGGTTGCTTTTGCAGAGGACCCAGATTCAATTCCAAGCACCCACATGGCAGCTAACAACTGTCTATAACTCCAGTTCTGTGGGATCCGGTGACCTCTTCTGACCTCCTTGGGCATTGCATGACACAGGTACACCTACCTACATACAGGCATTACACTCATACACATAAAATAAAAATAACAAAATATTTGTGACCTTAAGCCAGATGTGGTGATGCACACCTATAATCCCAGCACTTAGGAGGCAGAGGCAGGCAGAGCTCTATAAGTTCAAGGCCGGCCTGGTCTACATATTGAATTCCAGGCCAGCTGGGGCTACAGGGAGACTCTGTCTCAAAAAGACCAAAAAAAGATTTTTTTTTTTGGCCTTTAGCTTCCACATGAGTGTGGTGCACACGTGTGTATACATACACACACACACACACACACACACACACACACTAAATTAAAAAAAATTCTACATCCTCAGGGCAACATGCTACCATTTAGCCTACATATATATGTATACCAGTTGCCTCCTCGGGGGTCATGATGACATCTCCGGTTTGGTACTTATATATATATTTGTAGTTCTGGGAGTGGAACCCAGGGCCTCATACATGCTAGACAACTATTCTACTTGCTCTGCTTCTAGCTACTACCCCAGGCTTTTTTACCATTCCCACCTTCCCCAGTTTATTTTGAGGCAGTATCACTCACTTGTCCAGGCTGGCCTGGAACTTTTGATCCTTTGCCTCAGCCTCCCTAGTGCTGGGATTACAGATGTGTGCCACCGTACCAGCCTCCCTCTAGATTTTTACTTATGCAAGCACATCAGTGTCAGATTCTTCTGAACTTTTTGGAAGTAGCAAGTGGGCGGGGTTAGGGAGACAGAAGCTTTTAAGTCAGACCCATTCAGTTCCATTCTCCTCATACTAGCTGTTGACCGTTGGCAAGTCCTTGAATCTCCCTCTTGCATCTGTAAAAAGAAGTAGCACCCATTGGCATCCTACAGGCAGGGTGGTAAGAACCCCCCCCCCCCAGCCCCAGGCGTGAACAACAGGAGGGTGTGTGTTGTTCATGGAGAACTTAAAAGCTAGAATGAGATTGAGCTAAGGAACTGACATCAGGTGCTAATTCTAAGGCTCCTTATGTGCTTAGAGAAAGTAGAAGAGAATCCATGGGGGTTATTCACTATTTTGCTGTTTGCTTTCAGGCAAGTATAGTTACCCCACTTACAGGGAGCTGAGACCATGCTTGCTAATGAGCAGTGAGCGTGGAGGAGTCACGTCCTGGCTTAGTGAGACTGGGAAACTCTGACTTCTTTGGTTGACCAGTTGCCTCCTGAAGGGCATGGTGACATCTCAGGTTTGGTACTTGTAATTTGTAATCTTTCTTTGGTACCCTTTGCCAAATTGTTGACATTTTGGGTCAGAGGCTTCTTAGTTGTGGGCTTTCCCAAAGATGACAGCATCTTGGGCTTTTGGTCGCTAGAAGTCAATATTAGCCTCTCAGGGTGACAATCAAGAATTCCTTCAGATACTGCCAGATGTCCCCAGGGGGCCCAAATCACCCCTTATTGAGACTCACTGATTTATATCTAAACTACTAAGCATAGGGTCCCTATGGGAGAAAATGGGACTGATATACAATGTTTGTCACTCAGAACAAAAGAAAGACCATTGTCCTCAGAATATGGGCTACTGGCACCTGCAACTGCCCTTGGTGTGTTCCAGGGTCTGCCCTGGACCAGGATTTCTGGTCAACATCTGCCTCACATTGGACCAGCTTCTGGGGCGTGGCTTCAGCATGGCCTGGTGAAAGGGCCATGGAAACCAGTTGGGTCAGAGGCAGGAAGTCTGAATCCTGAAGGGAGGGCCCATAGCCTCTGCTCAGGGTGCTTGGAGCCACAGCACCAGCTTTTCCTTGATGCTTGTTCAAGCCTAGTGTCTTAGTTACTGTCTATTGTTGTGATAAAAACACTGACCAGTTGGGCGTGGTGCCACATACCTTTAGTCCCAGCAGAGGCAGGCTGATCACTGTGAGTTCAAAGCCAGCCTGGTCTACATGGTGAGTTCAGGTCAGCTGGAACTACAGGGAGACCCTGTCTCAAAAAGACAAAAAACAAAAACAAAAACAAAAAACAACTCAACAACAACAACAACAACAACAACAAAAAACACTGCCCAAAACAATTTGGAGAGGAAAGCTTACAGCTCACAGTCCATCATCAAGGGAAGCCAAGGTAGGAACTCAGGGCAGTAACCTGGAGATATGAACCTGGAGGCAGGAGCTAAAGCACAGACCATGGAGGAACGCTGTTTATTGGCTTGCTTCTCTGTCCTGTGCTCAGTCTGCTTTCTTGTATTTCTTATATAACTCAGGACCACCCTGAGGTGTGGCACCACCCACAGTGGTATGGTCCCTCCCACATCATTTAACAATCAAGAAAATGCTCCACAGACATGGCCATAGGCCAGTCCAATAAAAGAAATTCCTCAATTGAGGGTCCCTCTAGCCCAGGTGTGTCAAGTTGACAACTAAAGCTATCCAGCACACCTGGTATCCCTGCCTCATTTTAAGTTCATTTTCCGAATTAGAAGAACAGTGTACAGTCCCTGTATAAAGACCACTTAGAAATGTCTAGGAAACAGGGAGGAAAAACTAAAATCATATGCCTGTCCAGTGATGAGTATTGCTAATGGCCTCCCTGTGGACCTGACTTTTGTCACAAAGATACTTAGTGACACTTTATTTCTTGGGATTGCAGAAATGCTCCAAGAGGTCCATTTCATATTATAAAGGAAAGAAAATTTGTTTGGCAGTGCTCTTAATGGAACATCCATACCACAGTCAGCCTTTGTCCGTCCTTCTAGATAGAAGCTAGCTAGCTTCTAGATAGCTTCTTAGTTTTTCATTGTTGGATGAAGATGACATCATCCTTGTATAAAGGGAAGGTGAGGCTGGGAAGTTGCCCCACTTCAAAGAGGCACCTCAGACAGAGTGGAGGATCAGAAAACAAGAAGTTTATTTACCAGCAAGTTCAGTGGGAGGTCACCTCCAAAAGTCTGAGCACAGGTAGTTTTAAATAATATTTATAGGGCTGGAGAGATGGCTCAGTGGTTAAGAACACTGGGTTGTTCTTGCAGAAGACCTGGGTTTGAATCCCAGCACCCACATGGCAGCTAACAACTGTCTGTAACTCCAGTCTCAGGGGATCTGGCAGCCTCTTCTGACCAATGCAGGCATTGCATGACATGGGAGCACTTACCTACATGCAGGCAATACAAGCATACACATAAAATAAAAATAATAAAAAATTAAAAAAATATTTATAGACAATTCAGCATCATGCCAGACTTACTCTGGCATTGATGGGTACAGGAGTACCCATCAGGTCCTCTTAGCTTGTGTGACTGCAGACCAGTCACAGGGGCCTACGTGACTGGGGGGGCGGGTTCTCCAACTTATGGGTGGGGAGGCATGAACTTGAAGCATGGAAGTGTATTTACAGAAGCAGAAGCAAAGGTTAAACAGACAACTGTTTTCTTAAGTATATAGGAGGACTGCTTTCTTGGGTAAACTACCAACTGTTTGCTCAGATAAGCTGGGACAGTTTTTTAAAAAAAAATTAAAAAAATTTTATTTTATAGGTAACCTGCTCTGGGTTTTTCAATTAATTTTAGTTTTCTTTCTCAATCAATTTTAGTTTTCCTTCTCATTCCCCCCTTTGATACCTGCTTAATTTATCTAAGGGACATCGGTTTCTATCTTCCAGATTAACTGGTTGGTAGTTCTGGATGAGCATTTGGAATTTCACAGCTTCTAGGTAAGAGGACACAAACCAAGCCAGCATGTTAAGGATACAGGAACCAGAAAGGAGTGCCAGAAAGAGCCCAAGGACAGGGCCAGCTAATGGGAGGAGCCAGGATGCCCAGCTCCAAATATCCCACCAGTTCCAGGAATCAACTGCGAGTTTCTCTCTCTCTCTCTCTCTCTCTCTCTCTCTCTCTCTCTCTCAGTCTTTTTGAGACAGGGTCTCCCTGTAGCCCCAGGCTGGCCT